GTTTGCCCCCTCGAGGCGGGTATTTGAGGGTTGGGGTTTTTTTTAAGAGAGTAGGAGTCGGCAGAATGATAGCAGTGCGGCGCCTTAAGGGGCGAGAGTGCGTGCGTGTGTGTGTTTACAACCGTGGTTAAGAACTAGAGGTTTAAGCACGCACCGATCTCTCTTGCCCAGGACTGCAGGTTTACGGCAGTGGTTCGATATCTCCTGGTAGGCAAATGGCTCAGCAGCAGGCAGGCGGCTGCACTACCGGAGGGAAAAAACATACAGCCTTAGAAGAAAGATCCACGACCTAGAGTGGACAAAGGAACTCATTGTCCAGTCAGGATTAAGACTTCTGCTTGGGGTTTTAGTTCTGGGTTATTTTGCTCCTGAACTTCTGGTTCAGGTTTGATTTTTATGCTGACCTTTCCAATTAGGTGTTTAAGTGTCTTTCATACTCTAGACTATCAGTGATGTAATTTTATTGTTGTTATTTTATAGCTATTACTGTTGAATATATGTGAGGGATGAGAAGAATGCTTTGCATGTAGTATGGGCAAGACAGAAGTTATTGCAGAAGTTTGATACCATTTTAATTCATGTTCAGCTATGCAGTGCTGCTAAAAGTCAGTCTCGTTCATCCTTGAAAAATTAAACTTTCTGGAGAATAGATGGACCAGAAGAAACCTAGTCAGGGAAATCTGTCTTTGTGCCTCTGTGGAGAATATGCTACATGTTTTTCTGTGGCCCTAAGCACTTTCTGTAATTTGACTGACTTGAAAGAAGCTCTAGGCATTCCTTATTCCATTGGATTCAGGAAACGTTCTGCTTGTTTGTTGGATCAGTTCATAAGACTCTAGTTGGGTTTATGCAGCTTTTTGTTTGGTGACTTGATGCAATATTTAATTCATGTGTTGTTTTGATTTCTCTCCAGGCAGATAAATTGTTGAAAGCACTGAAGCAACATTTTCATGAAACAAAACAAGAAAATGAAAATATGGTAATAGATGATAAATCATCCGTTCTTTTTAAGAGAGATAGACCTAACTTTGTAGCCAGTAGAACAGGGCATGTACTAAAGGCTGTTATTTACCATGATGATGAACTGTAGTAAAAATACTTTTTTCTCAATAGTGCCTTTAGTCTAGTGCAGTCATGTACTGATAGAAACATATGCTAATATTAGCTTTCAAGTGGCCTCCTATATGACCCCAAGCTGATCTCCTTTCAGCTGCCAAAATTAAACAACGTGTTTTTCAGCATCAGTACAAAATTATTCACTGAACACTTAATTTCTATTGAACAAATCTGATTTCTTGCCTGTTTAGCTTCAGACACCAGTCAATACTGAATACAAAAATATTTTATTTATTTTGCATGCGTAGATGGACTAAATATGCATTTACTACGATTTACATACACTGACATTATAATGAAAGTGATGCAATTGTGACATTTTCTTTATTAATCTCTTAATGTATTTTTTCCTTAAATTTTTTTAAACTTTTCTCTTCTGTAAGCTGGATTATTTTGTTGAGTGTGGTGATGTTTTTTGTTTTCAGTAGAAAGTAAATTAGTATCTGCTTTTTCTAAAATATATGTCTCTTTAAATGCTTCCTTTAGAATCTTCTTTAAAGGTTTGAGGAACTGCTGTAATCCTCGTCAGCTTATTTTTAATTTTAACAAGCATGGAAGAGGCGCTGATTTTTTTGATGGAGAGTATTCCACAGAAACATACAAATCTAGGAGGGCTGCAGCATCATGCAAGTCAGATTTCAAATACAAAGTATTAGTTTTTTATAATCTTATTGAAATGCTCTATAATAAAACAACTTTAGGACTTCTTTCTAATGTCTTTAAACAATAAGCTTTGATGTTTAGGGAAATCTAGGCATTGCCAATTTCTAGATTACTATGCTACTAAATGGCATGCTATTGTTTTTCCTCTGTGTGAAATACTTTTTCCAATAATAAAATTGAAACAGTCTCTTTAGAGTATGTAATTTATGTTTGTGTCAGATATGTTCCACATTATAATATTTTTCTGCTGTAGGACTCTGGAAAAATTGCATCTGCTTCCATCGAATCAGATGAAATGAGCAATCAGGAAGAAATTATGCTTGATTCAGTGTGTTTTATTACAAAAAGACGTGTTAAAGAAAAGAAAACGACAAGAAAAAAGAGGAACTCCAATGAGGAAATGATTATCAATGAAGAAAATACAGAGCTTTCTGATGAGAAAGAGGTGATTTGCATTGCTTAGTTTTGTGTGCTGGCTGCCTCCCCTTCCCCCGAGCATAATTTAAACACGCTTGATGTGTTTTTTTTCTACCACCGTTTAGCAGGTGGTGTACATTTTTTTTGTGTGTGTGTATATATATATATATATAACAATTTTGTGTGCAAGAGCTTTGGTACTGGTCTTCTGTACTTTGTAGTGCTGATTTTGTCTATCTTGACTATGAGCTATTCCATAATGAACAGAGATTACTCGTTAGTTATTTCAAGGAAATAAATTAAATTCCTCTAAGAAATATACAATTCCAAACACTTTATCTGAATGTAAGACTGGTTTCGCTGGTTCCACATATTACTCTGAATATTAGACTAGTTTCAGAATTTATCTAAAATAAAGCTGTTTTCACTTTCTTTTATATAGAAAAGTTAGCAGAAATTGGATGATTGCCTAAACCCCACAATTTTTTAATTCCGACTCCTCTCAGTGAGTTCTTTGTTCATGGGTCCTATGACTGAGCGAGGGGAAGTTTCAAGGTGAGGTGGAAGTAGGATTATTTTTCTCTAGAATTTCATGCAAGTAGTGAGTGAACCAAGAACTATGTGAAAGACTTTAACTGATTCAGAGTTAGAGGAGGGAAATAAGATGATGAAGAGTGTTAGTCTGTTAGTGTTAGAAAATTGTACAGTAACCAAAGCTACAGAAGGTCTCTTGCTCAATCTCCCAATCAAAGCAGGGTGAACCATGAGGTTAGACCACAATGCTTAAGGCTTTCTCTGATCTGATATTGAAAACCTCTACGGATGGACGCTATGCAACCTCTCCAGGCAACCTGTTCCATTGACTGATTGTTCTCAGAACAACAGCCTTTCATTATATCCAGTCGGAACAAACTGATTAAATGAAGCATGTTTAAACTGCAGGAGCATTCTGAAATGAAAGAAAACGAAGTGCCTCAGGGTGAGCATGAAAAGGGACAGAAGGTATTCCAAAATGAGGAACAAGTAACTAAAAAGAGAGCTGTTGAGAAACCAGAGATGAGTACTGGTCAGAAAGAACAACCAGAGAAGACTTCTACTAAAAGTAGTGAAGATGAATGTAAGTAGAAAATTAAAAAAAAAGTAAGTTTAGTAATTCGTACTACTTAATGTGCCTTTTGGTTATTTTATTGTGTCTACAAAGATTTTTGTGGTATGTCTGGTGATCGGTACCTTGTTTGGGGATACCAGAAAAAAATCTGTCTCTTTTGGGTTCGTGTACTTCTTTGTTTAATGTATTGTAACACAAATCCACAAATTCTGCAATGCAGGAATTCTGCTGGCTTTGACATCAGAACTCTGGACCTGATGTTTTTAGTGAAGGAGTTCTTGAAGATCTGAGTGTATTTGAGTCTGGTGCCTCGTTTAGGATCAGTGCCTTTTGAAATACCCCTAGAGATGCTACTCGGCTGTTTTAAAAAGTGGCGAGAAATGGAGAGCTTTCTTCCTCATGCTTCACTTTTTTTCTTTTCCTACAGATGAACAGGTTTTATCATTTTCTTCCCAGGAGTAAAATTAGTAGAATAGGACATACAAACACAATCCTTTAACTTGTTTAAACTGCCTAACAGTATCTGAATGTATTACAATGGATCATTTTTCTGTCTGTTAACTTTTTTAGACCTTCAAACGTGATGCCCTTGAAAACATGAACTAATTTCTCCCCTAGTCTTTTGTGCATGCAGCTGACATGAAGAAGAGAGTTTGTCTGCCCAATCTGATAACCTCATTCATACTGTGGGTCTGTCAAATAAGATACATATTGTTACTTGCTCCTGTTAGTCTAAGTGTAGTCTTTGAGCTGTATTAGGGATATTCTTCTGTTCAGTAGAACATTACAGTTCATTACAGGCCATTTGTAACTTTGAAACTAATTTAGAAAATGAGGATTTTAAGGAAGAGTCTTCTAAAAACAGAAGTAATGGAATATATAGAGGATGTTTTTGCTGAGGCAGCATTCATCCTGACAGTTGGCATAGTACTCCTCTCTTCCTATAACTGTAATTATAAGTACTCATACTGCTTTCTGTTTTTTTTCTTTCTTTTTTTTTCCCCAGTAATTTCAGACAGCAAGAGCTGTGTGAGAGAAAAATACTATATCTGCATTTAGTGTTGAAAAGTTGATTTTTTTCAACAGTCCCTCATTATTTGCTTCCAGTTAGGATTTCTTTCAATATATTGAGGTCACTCAAGTTTACTTTAAAAGAGACATGAATGAATACAAAAGCAAATGTTTGCTTTCGATATGCAAATATTGATTTTTTTTTCTTAATAAGAAAAAAGTTACTAAAACATGAACATGAGCTTAATACTATACCTGAGAGCAGAGATGATAAAAAGAACTTAGACTCTGTATATGTATATAAGGCAGTGTCAGAAAAGCTGGCCAAAGGTGTTCTTTGTTATCAACACTTAAAAACCACTGGCTTATTAAACAGATCAAGAGCTGTGGATTTAAAACTGTTTTTGCTTACCACAGGCATAGTTCTCATGTTAATTCCCCCTGTCAAACGTTATCAAAAGATAATAACTTAGTATGACTGTAAGATGATTTATGCTGGGCTTGTAGTTTGTCAAGATATGCTGTTACTGATATGCTGTTTAAAAGGCTTTTGGGAGACTTAGGATGTATCTAATTCCAGCGGATGTTTTTATTTCCCAAAACTTAAACCCACTTTGAGGAGATCAGATGTGTTTTGGAACAACAACTTTTAAAAAGGTTGTGATGACATTAAAATATTTTTCAGGAGTTCTAACAATTTTGTCTAATCTTACTGTACCAGGTGGTGCTCATCATGCAGGAGGGAAGATGCCTTTACATGTAGGCCACGCATCTAGGTCTGGGAAAACAGGAACGAAAGCCACTACACCAAGTAAGATAACCTACCGTTTTTAGAAATAGATGTGTTGCCCGCGTGTGAAGGGAGACTTGACTTAGAGTTTTTTAAAACCCAAATTTCTGTTTCTCCTTGAAAAAGAAAACATCTTCTCTTTAAAAGGCAAGCAAACTAAAAAAGTTCCCAAAGGTTACATTTTAATAAATATATCTTCCAATTTACAAATTCATAGTAGTAAGTGACTCGCATGTATGTTATAAAACTGGTTTATCGAACGCTTTGATGTCTTTTGAATATAACACTTGCATTCACGACTTTCAAAACAACAAAGAGCAGGAAGACATGCTCTTACTTCTGCCTGTTGAATTTTCACTTTATAAATACTTTCACTTTAGTAATACAGCACTGTTGTTGTGCTGTATTACTACGCATTAGCTTGTTTTCATCGCTTTGTCAAATACATTCGTTCATTTAAAATTTGGAAGTTTTGGTGTTTTTTTTTCCTTTAACTGCAGTATTTGAGGGCTGGACTAGATGATCTTTAAAGGCCCCTTCCAACCCAAACCAATCTGTGATTCTATAGTTCTCCAGAGCATGTGCCAGGTAACCAGCTATGTCTCTGGTGAAGTAGATGCTGTTTCATACTGTTGGGTTACTTGTGTGTGCGCAGTCTTTAATTAGAGGGATACGTTATATTTTCTTTGAGGCCATAATGACAGGTGTTGCAAGATTCTCCTCTTAAGGAGTAAACTTCCTTAGGAGCTCATTAGATATGTGACTTCTTATGTTTGGAATGTCTTAGACTTTAAAAAGTTGCATGAGGCTCACTTCAAGAAAATGGAATCTATTGCTGACTACATTGAGAGGAAGAAAAAAATGATTGAAAACTGCAGCAGTTCTCTTCATGAAGTCAAGGTAAGTGATAACAAATGAAGAGATCCATTGTTTCTATATTCATTTATTTCCAGAGCCTCTCTGTAGGAGTCTTGTAGAGTCTTTTTAGAGCAGTAAGTAGCTGGTCATGTGTTCATGCAGTGGAATGTTATGATCAGTAAAATTTAACTGCAGTCCTATATAACTAGTTACATATAGTTAAATAACTATACAAATTTATATATAAATAAGTTTTTATATATTAACGTGTATGGCTATAGTTAAAGGAACCAACAAAGAACTTGTTAGTTTTGAGTAAAAATAATTATGTCACAATTGGTTTTGTGAGGGATCTCCTGGGGCTTTTGTTTACAACTATTGGAATTGCTGCAGAACTTAACCAAGGGAATGGGTTATTTTTCAAAGAGGGGGAATTAAATATTAAGTTCCTCTTTTGTGCCTTAAAGAACCATTTTCCAATGACTACATGTGAGTCTCTTTCAAAATATATGCGATATATGTTGTTCTCAGTGGCCCTGATTCTCAGAACGTTCTCTTGTATTTCATACTTGCGCGGGTGAAAGCTGCTGATGGGGCCTCTTTGAAAGAGTGCGGTGAACCTCAGAAAAGTGGTTCAATGGACATAACAAAACAGTGACACTGAAACTCCTAAACATTACATTTCTCTCTTCTATGGCATACGTTATATCAACGTATACTTCGGACAAATTATTTTTGGCAGGTGCTGGCCAAAAAATCGAATCACTTAAGAGCATCAGAAAAAGGCACTCCTCATAACAATTCTAAGGTATGTGTTTTTGGATTAGTTTAATGATAAAACTACTCATGTTTAAAATATGCTTTTAAAGAAAAGAAAGGAGAAAAATGAAGAATCTGTATGCTTTTGATTCACTGTGTATCTCCCCTTCCTCTTGGCTGCTTTTCTGATAAGTTTTTAGCGGAGTGTGCTAACTCATGATTTTCTCTTCCCTAGAATCGAACCAGTGGCAAAACACCCTTATTCAGCCCGAACCCAGAAAGAGGCAGATTCTCCGCCACCTGCACTCCTAGTAACCTCCGGCGTTCACCACGCAGTTCTCTGAACACTGCCAATCGGAGTATTTTATCTAGGAAATCTTCATTTAATCCTTCTGTCCTTTCAACAACCAAAATGAATGTCAGGTAAAAAGAACAAACTAAAACTACCAGTGAGCAACTTGGTATGATACACATGAAATAATTGACACTGAGTGTGATTTGGCTACGTTATTTCTATTCCAAACACGAACTACGTGAGTGTACTTCTGGTTATTCACTTTCAGCCTAGCTTTATGGCCTTAACTTACTGTGCTGTTACTATCTCGATTCTTCATTTTGATGTCTGATGGTAGAAGAATCTTGCATCTCTTTAAGCTTTCGTTTTGCTAAACCAACCCAGCTAAATTAGTTTTCTTCTCTTACTATGTTAGGCTTTGCATTTTTGTCAGGCAACCTAATAGTCCCTGTTTATCTGAATTAATTTATCTTTGAGATTACTTAACCAGAACTGCATACAGTATTCCAGGTGAGTCTCACTATAGACTCATCATTTGGGTTTTTTGAGTACTCACTTCCTTCCTCCACAATCCCTCCCCCATGATGTCACTGCAGGGGCTCATCTTGTGATTGACTACTATAAGCAGATCTTTTCTAGCAGATGGGAACAAAGTTGGCAACAGAAAGTCATGAGGAATTGCTAAATGAATGAGCTCATACTCAATTCTGTTAAATCTCATCTCATTCCCATTTAAAGCATCACATGTACTTCATTATTCCTACATGGTAATTGAATTCTGTATTATATTAATATTTGATGAACTTTTGTTATGAGTAAATTTTATTATCTTATTACCAATTTTTCTGAAGTCTTGGAACAAAAAAACCTTTAAAAGAAGGAATCAAAAAGACAGTCCATATGGTACTCCATTGATTAAACGTGATTTCGCCTGGTTTTCTTCTCAGTGAAAGTCCTTGTCTCTACTATATCTTTGTTGCTTTTTAACTGTTGTACTAATACCAACTTTACTCAGTTTACTAAACTTTCCACAGTGACAGAAGTTCAGATTTAGACATTCTGTAATTTATCATTACGCTTTTCCCCCTGCTAACAATATCCAGTTAATCTCGAGTCTCAGTTGTGTTACTTTTCATTTTTCTGACAACCTTCATGTTTCAACTTTGCATGCCAAGATTATAGCTGCTGAGACTATTTGTCCTTGAATAAAGTGTGTGTGGGATTGTTAAGTCAGATAATACAACTTATAATATTGACATCTCCTAATAAATAATTATGGGACTTTTGAGTGGAGTTCTTTTGCTATTCAAAGGTCAAGATTACAGGTTCCTTGTAAGATCAAGCTTATAATCTTACTGGCTTTGTTTCTACTTTAAACGTGCTATCTGATTTCAATAGACATCAACAAATGAAAACAATATTCATTCTGCCTTTGGTGTCCTATTAGATGATCTTTATTGTATTCACTGCAACCTGACTTGATTCTTGGCAATATGTAAAACAAAACCTCACTTTTAGAATTTGCTTCCATTTCATTCATCTAAAGATGTGCTCAGGTGGATCTTGCAAGCTATGCTTCATCTGTAAACTTGCTAGCCCTCAAAACATAGCTTTCTCCAACATCTACTCACTGTCTTTCCATATCTTGTAAGCTTTCAGTTTATTCTCAGTACTTTTTGATAAAGGTGTTATTTTATGCGAAGTTTTGAATTTTCTTTCTTGTGTTTATGTATAGGTACACATATATATGTTTACACACACACACATTAAAAATTAAAATTAAATTAAAAATGTGTGTGTATACACACATACATCCAGCACGTGTGTGTCTTGGTATGCTGGGAACTTGTGTGTTTCCACTAAAATTTCCAGCTTCTTCCTTGATAGATCTTTGAGTTCTGGAGTTCTTTTCTTCTAGTTAATTTTCTTACAGTTTTTCTTTAATTTGAATTTTTAAATTAAAAATATTTATATATAATGTTTACTTTTCGATTTGAATTCTGTAGTAAATCGTATCTGCTGTTGAAGAAATCTACTTATTGCATCCGCATATATTTGCTCTCCAAAATAACAAGTCAGTTCTTTGTAATTCCTAATACTACCAACCGCTATTGATGATGGCTCATAACGTGAAAACTGCCAGCAAAGGTGCATTTAGTGCAGTTTATGCATAAGCTATGAACATCGTACACAGAGCAAAACTTTCTTTTCTTACATGTAGAAGAACACGGAACCTTCTGTACTGTCACGTTGCTTACATTCCTTGTAGATGACTAACTTTGTCTTCACATTTCTAACAATTTTCAGGTTCTCGGAAGCCACAAAAGATAATGAGCATAAACGCTCTCTTACTAAGACTCCATCTAGAATGTCTCCATACTTGGAGATCTGCACGCCTGATAGCCAAAAAAGCTGCAAACTAATAAGTCAGAAAAACAGCAAAGGAAATGAAAACAATAATGATCTGACTGCGTCAAAGGGTAAAGTGGATGGTAAATATTTGCCTCTTTCAGATCAAGACTTTTGTCTTACTGAATTTTTATATAATTTTTTTATGACCTAATGTCAGGTAGGCACAGATTTTAATTTCATTCTCTAATTTATGACTGATTCTTCAGAAACTGCAATAGTTTCTTTGTTTCCTTTGGTTTACGGTGTTTTGACTAAAAAGGTTAGGTGCTAACACTGAAACATATGGTACCTAGCTACCTACAGAAAAGGGGATAGAAAATCTTCCAGACCTTTAGGGACTACATAGCAAAAGATTCATATAACAAGTGCAGGGAGATACTGTCTGGGGTGAGAGGTTTTCCAGATGCCTTTTCAGAAGTCTTGTTCTCCTTGTGGGATTGGTAGGCACCAGGCTTCTAGCTGTGTTTTAGGACAAGCCATTATTACCAGCTTCAGTAATGAAAGCTCTGTAAGAAAAAGCACAAGTCTTTTGATTACTAATGATCTCTGCACCAGCACAGCTCTGCTATCTAACCCTTGATACCCTGGCACCACAGGTACGTTAGCACAGGTCAGGAACCCAGTTGCCTGTCTTGCTGTATGACAATATTGATAATTTTTAGGGGGAAAGAAAAGTTCCACTGTTGATCAGAAGCTGGTGTGTTCTGGAAGACTGCTTCTTTTTTTAATGTGAAAATCCACTTGTTTCCAAGCAAGCATAGAGACTAAGAAACATAATTTGCTCTGAAGGACCAGAAAAACACACGGAACTACATATGCTATTGTACAGCATAATCAGAGCGAAAGAGCTAATACTCTAAACTCTTGCGCTCTCCAGACCTGAAAGCTCCTGATTTCAAGCGAGCTGCATATGTGCAATTCTGTCTTCAGAGGTAGCAGACAGTAGCATTTAGTGGCTTTTTGGTCTTCATAGTTGTAAGGTGATCTTCACTGTCGTTTTCCAGCTTGCTAAGTACAGTGATGTTCTTGCTGCTATAATTAAGTATGATATCTTGATGCCTTTTGTAGTTATCACCCCCTTCAAGTTTGCAGCTCACCCTGCAGAACCCACAAGCACAAAGAAGACGTTTGATCTCAAAGCAAGTCTCTCAAGGCCGCTTCGGTATCAGCCACATAAAGGTACTGTGATCCTGTGTGGTTTGTGTTGGTCATACCCCTTCTACTTAACGGCTCATAAAATAAGGCATTGATGTAAACCATGACAGCAAAGTTCTCAGTCTCTTTTCCTGTCCCTTTGCCTTTCTGTCTGGATTCCCACACGGTCTGTGGACTGATGTTAAATTTCTACATGATATATGCTTTAAGAGCCTCCCTACTGAAGTGTAAGCCTTTATGACCAAAAGCCCGTAAATATAAGAATAAACTTCTTTGTATTCCACTGAACAGATGTATGTACAGGAAATATAAGAGATTCCTTACACAACAAGGCTTACTTTTATTTTATTTTCTTAAAAAGTACACTATTGTGTAAGAAGCTGAACTTTGTCTCATGAGTGTTACTTGTAAGTATGGTCACCTGTTACTACTTAGAGAAAAACTACTTGTAGGGAATGGGCTGGTGAAACTGATAATACAGCTGAAGAGGCATTTCATCTTAAAGTCAACTAGCAAAAACCAGGCCAGCTAGCCTAAAATTCAGGATAAGAAGTTAAGCGCACAATTACTAAACTAGTAATTCAATAGTGTCTCTTTTTGCCCCTAAATTGTAGGACGACTAAAACCTTGGGGAGAATTCAAAGAAAATGCTGTTCTAAATAAGTCTGCCGGTAGCAACGTCTCTTCACATAAGAAAGATTACAAACAGCCACATCTCCAGACAAGGTGAGTACACCATTGACTTTTTATAAATAGTATTATTTAAATTAATACAACTCATTTGTCTTTGTAGAATTTAAATATGCAGTTTAGGAAAGAGTACTTCCATATTATAGCAATTTTTGCCTCCAATATTCCATCTAGTATCAGGCAGGCCAACAAAGAGGGCAGCTCTGAATCCCAGACTCTTATTCTATGAAAGCTATCAATTCTAGCGTTTGGAGATTCACCTTCACCTTGGAAGAAGCTGTGAATATTGACATGGTGTTACCTTGAATGTTAGACCTGTATGCCCATACAGAAGCGCTTGCCTGAATGTTTGGATTCAGTCCAAAACGCAACTGTTCTCTCTGCCCATGGCAAATGCAGCACGCTGGTTAAACAGATGTTAAGCCATGGTCAGCTTCAGATCCCTTTGGCTGCTTGTGTCTCCTTAAAGTAAGTTGATATGGTCTGTCTCTCTTCTTTTTCCCCTTCAGGGAAGAAAGGCGTGAGAAACATGAGCAAGAGAGAAAAAAGAAAAAGGCTCAGGCTCTCGGAAACCGTAGAGGACTATCTGTGGGTTAGGAGGAATAAGAAATATCTAAGAAATCACTGTAAATACTGTTCCTGTCATGTAAATATTTGTGCTGTCTGTGTATGGTTCAGGTTTGTACTAGTGGAATCCATAGAGCATTGAATGAGACCTTACAATGCATCTGAGCTTAACATTTTAGTGACCAACTTCTCCAACACGATAAGAGTTCTAAACTTTCAGGAGCTTGGAAACTCTCTCTAGTTGCTTAATGTATTAATTCAACTAACTACTTTAACTAGAAGATGTTAAAAGAGAAAATGTAAGAGGAAAAAAGATACTTAAGAAGCCTCCGTGCAACTTAGGACAAGCTTCACCACACCGGTATGTGTTTGTTACCCACTAGAATACGCTTTGGATAGCAAGCTTCAGAATGTTCCACTGGTAAATTACAGGAGTTGCAGATGTCTGCTTGCCCTGTTCTCCAGATCTATCCTTAAATTCTGTAACAACAGTTACAGCAATTATTCAGCATTTCTAATTGCATGCCTATGAAGTACTAGAGAATTTCCAAGAGAAGAAAAAATATGCAACCTCTTTGGAAAACTAAAAACTTACAGCATAACATAATTGTAAAATACTGTATTTTCAAAAAGTCACAACTGAAAAGTGGCTTTACAAATTACCAACTGGATGCTTTGAACAGTTAAGGTTGTTTTGTTCCTTTCTATGGTAAATAGCACGTTAACAAAATTCTTCTGCTTTTCACCTCTATGATGCTTAAATGAGGTTACAGTAGTGTTGAGGCACATTCAATACCTTAGATTTAAAAGCTTGTTGTGATTGTTACTTTTAAAAAAAAAGCTGTCTGGATTTATTATGGATAGAACTGGAAAGCTAATTTAGCAGTTGTAATCTCAGCTGGAGTATTGAGCAACTAATTGTTTCAGTGAATTTAGTGTCCTATCAAATATATGCTGAAATTTCAAGAACAACAGATTTTAATACTTAACTGAGGGTAAATAAATATTTTGTATATATCCTGTTTATATCATCTAGTGTATTATATGTAACTACCTCCTTAGTGTAATGCTAGTTTTGTTCATACTTGTATTTACTACTCAGTGTCTCTTTTTCTGTAATGAGCTTTCCTTACTGATTAGTCTGCCTACACCTTCACAAAAGCATGTTTGTTCTGGTATCTTTAGAATTTAAAGCCATCACCCTTCTTTTGCTTTCGAGCTATTTAATTCTGTGCAAGGGGAGAAAGATAGTAAAAGACACTGCTACTGCTTCAGCTTACTTTATTGTGGCCTCTTCCATATAAAATATAGGTACATTTAATATTTGTGATGTACACTTAAAGACAGTCTCTGCAGAGTAAGCCAGTGCTTTGATTAGATTGTTTGTGACAGCTGAAACAAAACCATTCAGCATTTGTTCTTTAAAGTGTTTGTCAAATTATCGAAAACCAGACTTCTCAGAAAAAGGGAGGTATTGAGCCTCTGTGCCACCTGCTGAGGCTGTGAATTCTTACATTACAGCTGACTTAAGCTAATTGCACACAGCAGGAAAGTGTGATCTGATCTGCCCTGTAAAGGTGCTAATTGAGCTGAGCTGTGCCCCCTCAGGAAACAAAGTGATGGGGTTCCCCCACGCCCAACTCCCTCTTGGAGGATTACTTCTGTTCAACAACCTTAGCTCTGTAAAGCTGCAGGACTGTAATCAACAGCTCTAAACAAAAAGCTGAGCCCACTGCATAGCTGCTGTTTCAACCTTGGCAGTGGTGGCTTTTTCTTTTTTTTAGTTACTCAGAAGTGTCAAAGCTGGAGGCTGAAATACTTCTGCCTTTTCCACTTCTGATGCTGCTCTTTGTAAACTTCAGCAGCTGAGTCATGCTTAAGCATCATTCCTCAGGGTATTAATTCTCATCATACTTTTTCCAGTTTAAAACTAGCTGATGCAAGTGTTCTACAACTGTCTACAAACCATATAATGTAGAAAATGAAATTGTTGTAGAAAAAGAGAACTGCAACAAGCTCATGAAATAACTTTATTTCTGTAAAGGTCAGGACAGAAACCAAAACTTACCCAGTCAACAGTTACTGCTCTGTAAGAATGCATCGCAACTCTCCTCAGACTATGTTCCAGTCCATTTACATACAGTCTCCAGGATTCTGCATTTGGCAGCTCAAAGATGCCAATGGTGTCACTCCAGTCAGGTTATTACAGTCAATGCTTCATCCGCTTTAATGTTTACAGAGAATTTTCCGTTTGTTATAAGCCACTTGTTAAGTGTTTCATAAAAATGAACCAAGCATCTGAAGAGTGTCCCAAAGGACACAAGCCCAACTTAGACTCGAGGATTCTTTTCATATGTTTCATAAGCAAATTCTTCTGTATGAGCTCTGTCGTTTAGCAGGCCAATAAAATCAATCTCCAGCTGGAATGGACCATCTACTTTATCTCCGATGGTGAATCCAAGGGTACTAATCTAAATAAAAGGCACATGAGAACAGTATTTATAACGTTACAATCAAACACAACTGTATCTACCGCTTCCATATTTTACAAGCAATTCATGGCCATTTGCTTTAAACTGGTTATTTGTTCAAAACACAGCACCATTTCTTAAGCCTTGAACACTTCACTACCATGTTTTCAGTACAGACCCCAGTGGGAAACTACTTGACATTTGCCTTTCTACCACTGTCAAACCCTCTATTAGAAATGGCCTGAGCCTAAAGCAACACTGCAATTTTTATCTGCCAAGGTTTGTGTAGTGCCAGTTTCATCATGACTGAGTGTACAAATGCATTTTCATGAAGTATGTTACAATTCTTTCGTGAGCAGGAAACAAACAATGTAATTAAGGATGGAAGGGAACTTTCATTTTAGATCAAGTCATACACCTGATATAGTGTGAAAGTGTACCAAAATAGACATTTTAAACCACATGAAACAGTAACAGAGCTTTATATTAAGGCAGGGTTCTTAACCACTGTTTCT